CATCTAAAAGGTGCAGATAACCTTTGATACAGCGATATCATGGGGATTAATATTCCAGGAGTTTGTGTTAAGTTTTGAATTATTCAGAATTAATAGTATTCCCGATTGTTTTAATTACCTCTTTGATTTTCTGTTACTTTTTCATAAGGGCATTAATTAAGTTACCCCCTAAAATTAAAAGCAATTATATTTGCTGTTCAGTTTTAAAACAAATATTTAGGCTATGAATATGGACACAGACAAATTTGTACAAAATGATCTCTAAACTGCTTATTGCCACATTTGATTTCATATAGAAACTATTCATTATCCTTTCTGTTCCAGCACTAAGGGAAGTGAAACAATATTTTGTTGTTCTTTCCCCCTAATCATCATAATATAACCTAGTCGGGGAAACAAAAACAAAGAGCTGTCTATCTTTTATTTTTGGTTTTCTTTTCATTGTATTGCAAAAGAACAATAATTACTTTGAACTTCTGCTAGATTTAGTTATGCGACCTTCGAAGAGTTATTGGTATTATATTTCAAGTTGACTTTGAAAAAAAAACATGCAGGTTTAATCTCTACAAACATTAGTAGAACTGCATTCAAATCCGAAACAATGCTTTATTAAAAAAACTAAGAAGTTTTACAATTATTTTGAGTTATCTAAAGAAAATTAATAAACTCTTCAATCTTTAAAAAAGTCACGTTTTTCATTAAATGTAACATACTTGCATATTCAATTATAAAAACCATCTCTGTAACCAAAGCTGATAATTCCAATTCATTTCAATGAGAAAATATGGATAGGTTTTACACTGAAGATGTAAAAGACCATGACAACAAACATTTTCCCCTTTATTTTTGAGTACCCTTATCATGGGATAAAACAATAGTGTATACATTTCTCTTAAAATACGGGAAAATAGAGTAAAAATAAAATTCAAATAATATTTTTGATGTACATAAAAAACTATCATTACTTGGTAGTAAGATCTCTCTCTCACTCTTGTATAAAACAACTTTTTTGTTTTTCATTCTTCCCTCTCTCTCTCTCTCTCTCTCTCGTATGAAACAACTTTTTGTCTTTTTAATTCTTCTGCTTTTTCTTCTTTTCTCTCTCTTGTGCATGTATAAAACATTCTTTCTCTTTCAAACATATATAATAGAATGAAGTTCTATTTTTAAAACAAAAAAAAGAATAGTAACGATAACAAAATTACAAATTTCAGTCACAAACGAAGCAAAAACTCGAGAATTCTTGGCTTTTTCATAGCAACAAACTGTAAGTAGTTTTGATTCCACGGTGTTAAAATTTCACGATATCTCAAAAATACCAATTGCGATAGTTTTAATTTCACTTTTCAAGAAACTAATTCAAAATTGTGTATAGGCATTTAAACATTTTTATATACCAATAATAACATTCACGATGGATTTAGCTTCAATTTGGTGAATGAAAGTTGCTAAGTCAAAAGAAACACACAGATGGTCAAACCTCGACTTAAAATCGCTTTATTTCCTCATAATGAGAGGGTTGGCTCAATTGTCCAAGTTCTTGATAACCTGCATTAATTTCCTCTGTGTCATTAATCGAGGGATTGTTTAATTGTACATGTTCTTGATAGTCTGTGATTTCTTCAATCCTTCCAGAAACAGTTACGTAGGTTTTTTTTTGCCGAATTCTGCTCCTTATTTCCCATTTTTAAGCCTCGCCTTTTGTAAAAAGCTTTTCTGGCATTTCTATAATATAAAGGTATAAAAAAGAATAATACCAAAGCATTGAAAATTAGATTGGAACATTTACTTAAGATTCAAATTCTGTAACATGATCTTAGATTTTAACAATGAAAATAAAACCCACCTGACAATAAGAAAAATGTTGAGCAGTATACTTAAAAAGAGAGCTGCGATAACTCCATACAGAGATGATATGAGTATTTGGTTTGAATTGCAATCCGATGCCTGGTCGGTTGCTTAAAAGAAATCAGGCATGAATATGTATGAACTGTCACCGGATTTAAATCCCTTTATAAATCTTTACCTTTATCAAAATGTACTGAAAGAACAACATTTTACCAAGAAGTAAACAGGTCTGCATTTATGCATATGACCAAAATTACATGACATAATTATCTTGATTGCAAATCCTAATTTCTGTAAACCAACTTTTATTCGCCTGCGAGAAATTTTCGCGATGTTCGCGAGAGACTCGTCATCGCGAATATTTCTTGCCGCGAACCGGTTCCTAAAGATTATGTGTCTATTAAAAAGAGAACCTGAATAGGCTTTATCGCGAAAATTAATCGTCGCAAACTAGTTTACCCCCGGTTAATCGCAAAATAAAGTCGTCGCGAATAAAAGTTGTTTTACAGTATCTATCAGAAAAATACTTCGTCTTAATTTCCTTTTTCTTTTTATTTCTATTTTTTTTTTATCTTTGACAAGTCTCTGGAAGTACGGTAAGTTGGTTTCTTGTTGATTTAACCGAAATTTTAATTTCGACAAGTGAAAGGTAAGGAGATAATTTTAGCCCAAGATACATATAGATGTCATGCGGCTGTCTTTGTGTCTGAGGTCAGTGGTTATATACTTTGTAAATTGAAATGGGATGCATCGTGAAATTAAAATTTGTTAGTCATTTTCAAAATCTAAATTTACATATTTATGTCACAAAGAACTTGAAACGAAGGATTTACCGTTTGGTATGTTAGGCACGCCAGCGGCATAAACGATAGTTAGACACATGGAATGATTTATAAATAATGGGCTTCACAGGTTATGCAAATGATCCCACACTACTCCCGTTATACATAAATGATCCCCCGTTTTCAACAGTTTATGACATCCCTGACATACTCATCAAACTACACTGATTTTCTAATTATTTAAAAATTCATTTGTCAACTTAAAGGAAAACGAAAGATTACTTGTATAAATGTGTGAAGCGGTGCTTTAGATTGGCATTTGATGTTCTCTAAATCCAAAATAGGAGACATCTCCTTTGATATATGCTACATTTTAATTGTATATTTTAACCAATTGTCTTTTCATATTCCTTTGACCCTGTACTCGTCACAGAACTTTATCCGACTTTGGTTATATTTTACAAATGCACCCTGAAGGTATCAGTGATGTATAGAACACTTGGAAATCTCAGAGTAAAGCCAAAACCCCCCTCTAATTTCCTAGAGTAGGATTTCCCGTAGAGAGGCGAAAATCATGATCACAATTCTTGTCTAACAGTATACCACATAAATTGAATTAAATTTTAGGGAGACGCAAATTAAGCGATTTTTTTCTTAAAAATTGGGGTTTTATTTTTAGAGAGACGCAATTTTACCGATTTTAAAATGTTCACTAAAGAAGCGCGATTAAGTTTTAGCGATATGAATTTTAGCAATGTCAGCATCTTTGCTAATAAGACCAAAATTAAATCTTCTCTAAACACTCGGCTTATATGGTATAAGAAAATCTGTTTATTTATAATGGATATGGGCGTGTCTTAAACTCAAGAATTGTTGAGGTACATTGTACAGTAACGGATCTTTATAGTTTCAAAATTTATCTTGACACGAGACCTTTTAAAGGTCGTGTTCGAGAGACCATTGACTTTCATTTGTTGTTTGGCGGAGGGAACTCACCCCTAACAAAAAAATACTACAGTAAACTAAAGTTTACTATAATAGTTTACTGTAGTTAACTATAGTACCAAAGTTAAAACTTTGGAACTTTGATTTACTATAGTGAAAACTTCGGAAGTTTGATTCACTAAAGTAATAACAACTTTGGAACTTTGATTTACTATAGTAAAAACCTTGGAATTTTGATTTACAATTGTGAAAACTTTCAACTTTGACGTACTTTGGTGAAAACTTTTGAACTTTGATTTACCATGGTGAAAAGTTAGGAACTTATATTTACTATAATGAAAACTTTGGAACTTTGATTAAATACTATAAAACCTGTGGAATTATGGTTTTGCTCTATATCCTGTACATTTTACGAAATGTCAAGAATAAGATTTATTAAAGCTTAAATGAACGTTAAAAAACCCGACCCGTTCCCTAAAAGAACAAAGTACAAGAAATGAATTTTAATGAAAAAATTGTCCTTGCATCGATAAATAAGCAATATTTATTATTATTTATGGAGAAAAAAATTACTATAAGATAAACATTCTGTCATTTAGAATAAAAATATTTGCTTTATTATCCTCAGTCATCATGTTTTTTCTACCGTTCAAGGTAAATATTGTATTTAAATTAATTACTTTGCATATTTAAATTGAGATGAACAACAAAAATCAGCCAAAACCAACCACAATCATTACCCTTAAAACACAATAATAATTAAAAAACTTAATGAAAACATACAAAAACTTAAATACTTTGATTTACTATAGCAAAAACTTTGGAACTTTGATTTACTATGGTGAAAAGTTTGGAACTTTGATTTACTATGGCGAAAACTTTGGAACTTTGATTTACTATGGTGAAAACTTTGGAACTTTGATTTATTATGGGTGAAAACTTTGGAACTTTGATTTACTACAGTAAAAACTTTGGAACTTTGATTTACTGTAGGGAAACCTTTGGAACTTTGATTTACTATGGGGAAAACTTTGGAACTGATTTACTATAGTGAAAACTTTGGAACTTTGATTTACTGTATTAAACTATAGTAAACTATAGTTAAATATAGTATACTATAGCATTTTTTGTTAGGAACTGCCTACTGTGACCCGGCTATCGTGATCGAAAAATTGAAAGGAGTGAGGTAATTCTCTCTAAGAAGTAAGGACATTTCTATTTTTGGACAGTTCTAAGCATTTTAGAAATAATTCCGTTTCTTAAAAAGATGTATAATTTATAACCTCGGGAACATTTACATGTATATTCATAAACGTATACATTAACATTTCGCACATATATTTTAAAGTAAAATTGGAGAAAATAAATTTACATAAAACAAATTCCTCATTTTCACATTCTGCAATCAAAACGCAATTTAAAGTACGTATGTATGAAATTTAACAAGCACTGTGTAGTACAGAAATATTTACCTTTATTACATCTTTTATCAATAGTATTTTTCCATCCTTGTTCACAAAGACAAGATGGACAGGATCCTGTCACATGATCACATGTTGCGTTGTTTGCACAATTTCCACAGGGAAAACTACAGTTCATTCCATAGAAACAGTTTTTGCATGCTGAAAATGTTTTTCATTTCCACTATTCAAAAAAAGTATGCTTTGTACAAATTTTACAGAAATATTTGTAAGGTTGCATATGATAACATCCATTATTTATTTCATAAGAGGAAAACAGAACTTTTCCTTCGTATCTTATTTCTTTAATAAATAAATGTAATTATTTTTTGTTGAACTCATCAGAGGCAAAGTATTGATCTAAATGCTTCAATTTACAGAATTTCCTGACGTTGTGTGCGATTACTGAGAAACTGATTTTAGACTTAGACAATTTTGATATTCATTTAAAAAAATAATTTGATATAATACGTATGATTCAATGGATCTGCTCCTTATTTGGAAAAGCATAATAAAAGTAATTTAATTTCCGTGTTGTGGAATCAGGGATGGGATTTTTTTTTAATAAATCTGTATTAACAAAAAATTAACAGTAAGACGAAAATCTTAATGAATAAGTCCTCTTCTTTTAGTGTGCATGTGCGACATTTATTGTCATTTTTGTGCAAATCAATTTACAATTTATTTACAAGGAATGTCATTCAAGAAATCAGAAACAATTAAGGGCAGCTGATACAAACATTTTTTTCTTTGAAATTGATTTAATATCATGTCACAAGTTTAGAAAAGCGGATGGTTCTTAGAATTTTTTCTCCTAAGAACTGAAACTAATATTTTCCGGGTCTATTTCATTTTCCAGTTCTTCGGAGAAAAAAGTTCTAAGAACCATCCACTTTTAAAAACTTTTGACATTATTTAAATCTTTTTCAAAGAAAAAAATTGTTTGTATCATCTGTCCTTTATTTCACTATGCATATCAATATTCTAAAAGAAAAGTGTAAAGAGTTGACTTACAATCATTGCAGTACGAATTAATCCATCCCCACACCCTTCAGGACAACTTCCGTTCACTTTGTTGCACGATAATCCCCCAGCACAGTGTCCGCTGCATTTAGATCGGCAATGCAACCCAAAGGTTCCGTTTTCACATTCTGCAATCAAAAACTCAATTAAAAATACGCATGTAGTTAACTTTGCTACATGCGTATTTTTAATTGCGTTCCCCCGCTTTCCGTGTCTTATAGTGGGTGAGATGTCATTTTTTGACATATTGTGTCTAATATGTACACCCTGTCATATGTCGTTTATTTAGAAATTACCACTGAAGTTGATTTTTTTTAAAAAAAAAAAAGGTTAATCGTGAAGGTCAAGGTCAAGGGGTAAGAAATCATAGCATGCTCGGATATATCTTGTCACAGGTAATGCGCATGTCAAATATGAAAGCCCTATCTCTTCTCAATATAAGGAACAAGATGTGTTTGTGAAACACTGATGACCTCATAAGGCAACATAGAATATATAACCTTTCTTAAATGCAAATGAAATATATTATAATCCAAAGTAGGATTTTCTCACAAGAAAAACGATTGTGAAATACAAATCCCTAGCACCACCTGTTTAAAAGTTATGGTCAAGGATAAATGTTTGAAAGGTATGTCAAACTCCAAGGTAAAGGGGCCTGAGATGTTCATTCTTAAGAAAGGTCACAAGTAATACACATGTGAAAGACGAAAACCCTAACCGTTCAATAGTTATGGCCAAGGTTAAAGTTTTTGAAAATTAGGTCATACTCAAAGGTCAAGGTCAAAGGGTCAAAGTTCTTGGTATGCAATGAAAGGTTCTTCTCACAAGAATTACGTATGTGAAGTATAAAAGCCCTAGTCCTTTCCATTCAAAAGGTATGATCAATGTTAAAGTTTTTTCATAAGTATGGAAATCTCCAAGGTCAAAATGTCAAAGTTGTTGGTTTCCAATGAAAGTTCAGGCAAGAATAGATATGTGAAATATGAAAGTCCTAGTATTTACCATTTAAAAGTTGTGACCAAGGCCAAAGTGTTTGAAAAGAAAGTCAAACTCCAAGGTCAAGGTCAAAGGGTCAAAGTTTCTTCTATCCAATAAATTCTTACAAGGATTACATATGTGAAGTGTGAAAACCCTAGCCCTTACCGTTCAAAATTTATGGTCAAGGTTGAAGTTTTTCATAAGTACGGAAATATCAAACTTCAAGGTCAAAAGGTCAAAGTTGTCGGTATCAATGAAAGGTCTTGCCATAAAAAATGCATATGTGAAATATGAAAGTCCTAGTTTCTAACATTCAAAAGATATGCCTAAAGTAAAGGTTAAGAATTTTTGTGTAAAAGTAAGTCAAACTCCAAGGTCAAAAGTCCAAATTTGATGGTATCCGAAGAAAGGTCTTGTCACAAGGAATACGCATGTGAAATATGAAAGTTAGATCTTCACTTTATCAAAAGTTATGGACAAGGTTAAAGTTTTTGTATCGGACTGACAGACGGACAAACGGACAGACGGATAGACGGACAGACAAATGAGATTTAATGCCCACTCGCTTTCGCCAAAGCGGGGGACAACCAGCACCATGCAGTACAGAAATATTTACCTTCATTACATCTTTTATCACTAGTATTTTTCCATCCTCGTTCACAGAGACCAGAAGGACAGGATCCTGTCACGTGGTCACATTTTGCGTTGTTTGCGCATTGTCCACACAGAAAACTACAGTTCCTTCCGTAGAAACCGTTTCTGCATGCTGAAAATTTATTTAATTTCCACTCATTAAAATAAATATTATCCATTTTACAGATTCTACAGAAATATTGGTAAGGTGGTATATAACAACATTCATTACTCATTTCTTAAGAGGAAAACATAACTTTTCCTGCGTATCTTATTTCTATACATTTTTTTTATAATAGTTATGACAACTTGATCCTGTAAAAAAGAATCATTTAGGGCATTCAAAAAATTGTGAAGGTTATTGTAAAAGGCCAAAATAAGGAACAATGTTAACCTGTTAAATTAGGTAATAAATACAAAAATCGCTGAAAGGGAAAACATTGTTTCTCTTATTAATTAACATTAATTTCCTTTTTTCAATTAACTACTGTAGCAGTCATCTGACTAAAACGTGAAGAAAGATTCAAAACTGAAGGAAATTACATTCATAGTACAGCAAGGGAATTGGCCTTGCTCTTCAAATATAAGATTTATTTCAAGTTATTTTGGTAGAAAAAGAGCGATTTCAGTTTAATTTTCCATACAAATATAATGAAAATGAAAACATGAAAATCAATCACAGAAAATAAAAGAAATGAATTATCTTTAAGGATAAATCCCTAAATTTGCGTCTCGCTAAAATTTCCACTTATACGGAATCAATTTTACATTTTATGCCACAGAAAAAAAACATATTAGATAATCAGAGATTAGAGAATTCAACTAAACGAATGTTGTCTTTAAATAAGGCTAAGTCACCAAATTAGCCGACATTCTAAAAAGTTTACATTCAAAATTTATGCAATTCTCATCTGATAGGGCTTGCAGTTACTTTGGAATAGACCTATCTAAAAACTTCAAACTAGTCGCCCATCAAAAAAATGTCCTTCAAATCCAGCATCTGATGCAAGTTTGAGAGTTTTTAATCCCTTGATGCATCATTTGTGCAAGTTGGTTTATATTGACCGTATAGTTTCTTGGTAATAAACCTGTACCATAACTTTTACCTTCATTATCCGTTATCTGAAAATGTATGTCGAATTCAGCATCCGAAGCAAATCCGTTAGTGTGCATCCTTAGATGTATCATCCATGCAAGTTTGCTCAGTATAGGGCTCATAGTTACTTGGAAATAATACGTGCATAAAAACTAACCTTTTTACTCATCCAGAAAATGTAGGTCAGATTCAGCATCCGAAGCAAACCTGGTAGTATGCATCCTTATATGTATCACTAATGCAAGTTTGGTCTTTAAAGGGCTCAGATTTCCTTGGAATTGACACCTGCACCGATAATTTTAACCTGTTCACTCATCCGGAAAATGTAGGTCCGATTCAGCATCCGAAGAAAGTCAATTAGTGTGCATCTCTAGATGTATCATCCATGCAAGTTTGCTCAGCATAGGGCTCATAGTTACTTGGAAATAAAACCTGCATAAAAACTAATCTTTCCACTCATCCAGGAAATGTAGGTCAGATTCAGCATCCAAAGCAAACCAGGTAGTATGCATCCTTATATGTATCATCCATGCAAGTTTGGTTATTAAAGGACTCAAAGTTACATGGAAACGAAACCTGCGCCAATAACTTTAACATGTTTACTCATCCAGAAAATGTATGTCAGATTCAGCATCCGGAGCAAACCTGGTTGTATACATCCATAGATGTATCATCCATGTAAGTTTGGTCAACATAGGGCTCATCGTAACTTGGAAATAAAACCTGCACGAAAAACGTTTACCTGTTCATTTATCCGGAAGATATAGATCAGATTCAGCATCCGAAACAAACCTTGTTGTATGCATTCTTAGATGTATCATCCATGTAAGTTTGGTCATTAAAGGGCTAATTGTTACTTGGAAATGAAACACGCACCAAAAACATTAATCTGTTCACTCATACGGAAATGTAGGGCAGATTTAGCATCCCAAACCAAGCCTGGAAATATGCATCCTAAGATGTATCATCCATGAAGAATGGTCAACATGGGGCTTATAGTAACTTGGAGATGAGACCTACACCAAAAATTGCACCATAAATGTTAATCTTCTCCTAAAACATTAACCTGGGTATTCCTTTGCTGAAATTCCAGCATCTGAAACCTTGACTGGTACAATTAAACATACAAGAAGTATCTTCCATGCATCTCTAAAAAATATAGGGCATATACGTACTTAAAAAGAAAACTGCTCCAAACCCTAAACCTTAACCTAGGATGCCGACGGCGAGGGTATTACATAAGTTTCCCCTTCTTCGTTGAGGTAAGATAAAAAGGCTAAATGTTTTTTTCTGTATCTTTCCTATTTTTAAGGTAAACAAAACATGCAGAAAACATATTTTCAGAACCATAAAAAGCGCAAAAGGTTTGGTTAACGCGTCACCAATCGTTGAAAACGTCAAGTGATTGCTCAATAAAGCTTAACTCCAGACAGTAAGCATTATTGTATATTTTCAAAAGTTGGGAAATGGGCTGATTTTTGCATCCTTTAAAGCAGAGAATATAAGCCAGATAAAAAAAAACCCAACTACATGGAATATCTCGACAAAGTATTTGCTAGAATTTCAAACATCTGTAAGATGTACTTGCTGGGGAAACTGCGACGAATGTGTTGTTAGGTATAGAACGGACTGACGCACAGATAAACAGAACGTTGACATCGAATCGGATCTAAAATGAATCCCACTATATAGCATGCCTCAGATAAAACTGCGATGAGTAGTTGCTGAGGAAACTGAGAAGAAAATTAAATTTGTTACGGAAAGATGGATGAACGGACGGACAAACAACCTTACGTTAAAACGGTATACTGTACCCCCTCTCCTTTAGACCTGGGGTATACAGATTTAAAAGAGGTGAGTTTTTTTTTTAACCTAGCTAGTGAACACGAGTTATTAAGGAGAGGCAGTTTGTAAAAAAACATGTTTATACTACAAACTATCCTAAAGTTAAATAAAGCTGATATTCATTTTATTTGCATGCTTTATTTAATAAACGTTCTGAAAATTTTAAACCGTTTTATAATTTATCTATTCTTATATTTTTATAGGTTTTGTGAAATTAGACATCGTTTATTATTGTATGCAAGTTAGCAAATTATTGTGCCAATGTCGAAAAACTCTAAAGGATATCCAATCCTCAGCCAGGAAAGATAACTCCAAAAATTAATATTTAATTTGAAATGCATCAAAATGAATCTTGAAATGAAATTTTTTCAGGCAACAATTTTCATTTTATTGATCTTTATAAAATTCAAGGTTTTGGAAGTCTTAGAAAAGGTCTTATAGAAGTTTATATTTGCACCCTATAAAAGGAAAAAAAAATAATACAGTTTTAGAGAAATAAGATTTTCTTGAATCCAGCCTTAGATTCCAATGCTTATTAGCATGATATGAAATAGGGTGATTTGTGGTGTCTTGCAATGATAGCGAAAACCTTTTGCACTATGTATTATAGAATACATGACGCAAATAGAAGATAAAAAGTACCAAAAAAGCACTGAGTATACAAATCATGACAATTTCTCTGAATGCCTGGATATCTATCGTTCTTTAATCTAAAATATATTTGTTGATCAATTTGCAGTTAGAAAATGCAGTGTTGATATTCCAATTCGCTTTTTCCTTCAAAAATATTTGAGATTTGACAATTTCACCTATATAATATGATTAACTTTAATCTTTAAATTTAACGAAATACTGTGGATAAATTAACATTACTCTGTGGATTCAGAGACACTTCTATGGGTTTTTTGATTACTTAACTGCTAATTTTATAAACCTAAGGATCGGACTACCTTAAAGGTAAAAATTAATTGACAGCTTTTAAACCCAGATCCGCAAACACAAATCGACTCAAAGCTTTCCAGACTTACGCTACAGCTTGGTTATAAATTTATCTTTAAAAAAACATCTACCCGTGAAATAGATACTGCCCACTCTATGACGTCTTTTATTTTAAGTGTATGTTCTGTAATATTTCCGCAGTTAATTTTTTAAATACATACTAAACATATACTCGTCGCCTATATGATTGCTTGTTCTCCTTTGCCCAGTTTGGAATTCTAATGTTGAGTTTGCGGCTTGAGATCGTTCTGAATGTAAGGAGTTCAAACATCTTCTCAATAACATACCTAACTGTAAACAAAAAATCAGATCATATACCTTGATTGCATCTCTTTTCAGGAGTATGTTTCCATCCTGATTCACAAAGACCGGAAGTACAAGAACCTGTCACGTGATCACATGTAGCGTTGTTCAGGCAATGTCCACAAGAACGAGCGCAGTTCTTTCCGTACAAACCTTTATTGCACTCTGGAAATAGATTAGATCTTCTCAAAAATATGCTACAATCTTCTGAAAAAAAAAACATGTAGCACTCGGTCTGAGGTATTAAAAAACGTGTCCTCATAACTTTTAACTTAATGATTTAAATGCTGTTTGTTGATCGGATTCTGCAGTTGGATGTGCATGTAATTACATAATGTTTAACGTTCAAGTTATTGCATGAAATGCAAAAAGGCTTAACACGTTTTAATACCCCATTTTATGAAAGTCCTTCCGATAAATTTTCCATTGTATTGAAAAAATATTTATTGGTTTAGTATGACCTAATCATTTGAATGAATTTAATGTCATTAAATAAGAGTTGTGCGTTTACTTTCATTGCAGTAGAGATTCGTCCATCCATCTTCACAACCTCCGGGGCAGCTCCCGTCAACTTTGTTGCACGATACTCCCTTTGCACAGTATCCACATTTGGTACTACAGTATAACCCGTAGGTTCCGCCAACACATTCTACAGTCAAACATGTACATTGATAAAACTGAACGTGATAAACTAAAGTATGAGAGTTATAGCAATGTTTATTTAAAAATAATTACATATATTTTTAGTGTATGTTCTGTAATATTTCCGCAGTAACTTTTTAAATATATACTTAACATATACTCGTCGCCTATATGATTGCGTGTTTTCCTTTGCCCAGTTTGGAATTCTAATGTTGAGTTTGCAGCTTGAGATCGGTCTGAATGTAAGGAGTTCAAACATCTTCTCAATAACATACCTTACTGTAAACAAAAAATCAGATCATATACCTTGATTGCATCTTCTTTCAAGAGTATGTTTCCATCCTGGTTCACAAATACCGAAAGGACAAGATCCTGTCACGTGATTACATGTAGCTTTGTCCAGACAATGTCCACAAGTACGAGTGCAATTCTTTCCGTACAAACCTTTCTTGCACGCTGCAAATAAGTTAGATCTGCTCAAAATTATGCTACAACCTTCTGGAAAAAAAACATGTAGCACTCGGTCTGAAGTATTAAAAAACGTATCCTCATAACTTTTCACTTAATGATTTAAATGTTTTCTGTTGATCAGATTCTGCAGTTAAATGTGTATGTAGTTACATAATAATTAACACTCAAGTTATTGCATGAAATTCATAAAGGCTACAAACGTTTTAATATCCCTTTTTATGATAGTCCTTCCTATAACTTTTCCATTGTATTAAAAAATATTTATTGATTTAGTGGGACCTAATCATTTGAATGAATTTAATTTCATTAAATAAGAGTTGTGAGTTTACTTTCATTGCAGTAGAGATTCGTCCATCCATCTTCACAACCTCCGGGGCAGCTACCGTCAACTTTGTTGCACGATACTCCCTTTGCACAGTATCCACATTTGGTACTACAGTATAACCCGTAGGTTCCCCCATCACATTCTATAGTCAAACATGTATATTGATTTTAAGAACTGTACGTGTTGAACTAAAGTATGAGAGTTATAGCAATGTTTATTTAAAAATAATTACATCAATACCTTCATTGCATCTTTTATCAGGTGTATATTTCCATCCTGGTTCACAGTATCCCGAAGGACAAGAACCATTCACCTGATCACATACTACTTGTTTAACACAGTGTCCACAGACATGACTGCAATTTCTTCCGTAGAAACCTTCCCTGCATTCTAAAAATATATTTTTTTTTAATTTTTCCACAAATACATGCACCGGTTACACTCAAAAATCAGATTTTTTTTACATTACATATACGAGGGTTGTCCCAAAAAGTCGTAGACAATGTTTATAATTTTATAAACATGCAACCAATACCAACCAAATTTTGCATAGACATAATATATTCAATGTCCTTTAAAATTGTGAATTTTTAAATATATATCTTTCATATTATAAATTTTAGGACGATTTATATGAAGGCCGATAAGGCCTGTCGGCGCACGAACAAAATTCGGCTTAATCAACGCATATAACTATTACATCTGGTTTTATTTCTTTAGTACTATGTAATACATTGAAATCAAATTTAAATCACTGAAACCAGAATCAAAAGCTAAATAATATGTCCAAATTTCATACAAATAGCTTTAAAAACAAACGATTGGTGTCATGATGTTCATCGTATCGTTGGAATTGAGTTTATTGAAAATGAAGTCGTAAAACGCGTAACCGGCGCACGGAGATGTAATAAATTGTGTTGAATATGCTTTTTTTACATCGTAGACGGGAAAAAGAGTAAAGAAGTGACGTTACACACCAGATTTTAATTTAAAAAAGTTTATTTTTAAATGGAACAATAGTCAATGAGAGTTTATCTCTCTCCCGAAAATAGTTACGGCATGTAAGAAGCAGAGAACTATTTGTTAAACGCAGACAATTGGGAACAATCTGGACGCGAACGACGTCAAACAAAGTGTATTCTCTCCTGCCTGCAATATAAGGCGATCTTCCTACTAAATTTCGACTGAAATTTGAATCTGCTTTAAAAACAATTTAAACAATAAAATAAACGGACAATAGTGAGTTTAAATAAGTCCCTTAGTCAAGAGTGGTCTATCACTTTAAAAGGAAATATTGAATGTTAATGGACGCGAGTAAAGCAGATAAAGAGATCATGACGTTATTTACTTTTGCTTTCGTGCGCCGGTGTATACTTACATTCTTTCTTTATTTTCACATAATTTTCTTATTAGATGTGATATCATCATGAAACTTGAAATGCATGATCATAAAATGTTACTTGTTGCTATGACAAGGAAAGAAATTTAATTTAGCAAAAAGAAACTAAAATGTTTTCCCTGTCTACGACTTTTTGGGACAACCCTCGTATGAGGAAATACCTTTACAGAATGGAGGAGGGAGGCTATCACTTTTACATCCCTGTTCGTCACATTCCCCGTTTATCATACAATCATTCTTACACTGGTCGCAAGAAATACAATTTCCAACACTGTCCTGGTATGAACAACCTGCTTTTTTTACATAAAAAATATAACGTTCACTGTATATTTTCAATTTAATTGTTTATATAGTCCAACTGGCAATAATTAATCAATTAACTGAAAACCAAATATATCCTTCTTGAGAGCCAACTCTGATTTTTTTTTTACTATTTACAGATTATATATGTATAGTTTTTACAGTTATTAGCTACATTTTATACACTTTTTGAGAAATTTTAAGGAAATTCTTATTGGATTTTTCCCGATTCCATATCACGTGGTGAAAGGAAAAAGAACAACTTTCACTATGTTTAATTTACTTATTTCAAAAACCTGTTCATTATGTTCTGGATTTATTTTCTACCTTTAATTATTTTCGAATTACATTTAACCCCCTATTTTTTTCCTTCCCCTTTTTTTTTTTTTTTTTTTTTTTTTTTTTGCTGTGAGGTATATGTTAAATGTTTGACTTTGAGATAACTGATGTGAACAATAGAACTGGCATCAATTTTGTAAATAAAATACGAGGACCGTTCAAAATTACGCGGACTCTGCTATTATTAACTTTTACAGACGTCATACAGTCATGAAATTTAACAGAAATATGTATCGTAAAGATTCCAATAAATCTTGGACAAAATTTCTATGCACTACAAAATATTTGAAACAAACACATGCGGAATCCAAAATTTAACTCATCAATTTTCTATAATTCACGATATTTTTCGACAGTTTTCTCAAATGTATTTTTATATCGTTCTATTACGATGTATTTAGATTTCTTACGTGATGTTTGAAGCTCTAAAAGAAATAAGGTGATTTTTCTCCGATGCGATTCCTGTGAAATTGACTGTAAACATGACGTCTCTGGAATTGACGAAGCACCACACTTTTGTTAAATTTTGTGTAAAGCTCGAGATATCGCCAACATAGATCCAAAATATGCATAATAAAACATGTATTTAACTAGGGTATTCGTGACATTTGTCTACAAATAACAAATTGGAATTTTAGACCGTTAGACCTCTGTAAACAGGCTATACGGGAGGACGGGAAGGAGATTGTTTACAAAAACTCGAACAGTAAAGAGCGTGATTAAGAGTGACCAGTGTCACATTAGATCTCATTAATACCCACGTTTTGGGGTTTTAAAACAAAAAAGAAGATGCTTTAATTGTTTTTTACAGTTTAAGCTTGACAAGAAATGGTGCATGGATGTTAAGTAGATAAGGTAACTCAAACTGAACAGGAACTCATGCGAAAATGTTGAGAAAATGAAAGCTCATATTTTTTGATAATTACCGTGACGTCGACAATTTTGCTGCTCCGTGACTTATTGATATGTCCTGATTAATCACCCAAAATTTATATCAATTTAATACATTATGATATGAAATTCTGCAGACCATTTAAGTAACGATTCTTTTATATTATGTGTGACATTTTCCCCGATTACGTCCTCGATTACTTTTTATAAGCGACATGTCCGCGTACTTTTTGAACGTCCCTCGTACACAGGGCAACAACGTTGATACAGGACGGGATTGTCCGCATTAATATTGGAAAGGACAAGAATATATCTTTAATGTACATGTATATGTAAAACTGGAAACTTTGTCTCACAAGACTAGAAGTTATAATTTTAACGCATTCTGAAAGGAAATATTAATTCCTACACTTTATGAAATCTTACGTAGGGTAGCAATATCTATGGTGAATTTACTCACCCCGTGCATTGTTAATAAAAACAAATGTATTCATGAACTTTCTATTCTTGAAAATTATTAAATACATACACGTACGATTTTTTTTTCTTTTACGGTAAATAAACTATTATTCAGGTGCAAAAAAAATATCTGAGAATCCTGCAATCTTTTTTTTTTAATCGCAAATATTTATCGCCGGAAAGCAATTATTAAGCAAGCATTTGTAGAAAAATGTTTTCGCAATCATGTTAATTAATCGTCTTGGAATGATTTCAAACTGAAGATTTGCAAATAAAATATTTCTCGAATAATAGTTGGTTTTCAGTAAAGAAAGACCTAGATGTACCGTAAAAAGGAAAGACATACCGTAAATCTCCAACTCACATATCTCAAGAATAGCACCCCCATCAATATCCTTATTTGCGTATATCTTTACATATTGGGCTGTATCAGAACAATTCACATCAAGCACTGTTTCAAGAGTAACATTTCCGGAATCCTGATAACAGGTGTTATTTATATTCCATTCTGAATTATTGGATACAAGTATTGAAAACCCGCTTAGTCTTCTAGTGCTGTACGCTCCACCTGAACAAATCAGCATAAAAACACAGTTAAAATGAGATATTTAAAACTGAAAAATAACTGTTCAAACGGAAAGGAAATCAATTTTTTTTATGTTTTCAGATTCTCATGTCTAAAAGATTTGCCTTATAAAATGAATTCCATGACTTTCTATCAGCTTTTAAACTGATCATACAACTGGATTTAATTCCAGAACAGACAAAGTTATATATATGAACCATCAATTAAATCCATTCTTTTCTTGTATAATTGCATTTATCTATTCCTTCTTCCGATTAATTGTAAAAAAAAACAACTCACGGTCATTCCTGTACCAAATTCGAACACTTTTCAAATTGAAGACTCTACCGAGATCAATCTTTAACCAGGCCTCTGACTGTCCTGGGGCCGTGTGCATACAGTCAACATAACTCTGATTGAAGTTCCTATCGATGGTTTTGTTTGCATCTCCGGAGTAAGGTCCCCATACATACAGAGAGCTGCTTTCCACCTTCGTCTTGTTAGTTATAAGTAAGGAAGGCTTATCTTTAGAGATGAAAATTATATTAGAGCACATAATACCTATCGCACGTTCGAAAGATATAAGATACATAAAAGAATTATATTCAGTAATATCTATCATATGTATCTATCATCTGAATGTCATGCAACTAAGTTAATAATAATAATATATACTAGGGTCGATCCACAAGTTCGTTGAATTTCTTTCTAAAGTTTTATCGTAATTTGATGAAAGCAAACAACAGGCATATTTATAATATAGAGTCATAATGCAACAATATTGGTAAATGTAACTACTTTCAAAGAAGAAGGTACAGTTTCAATACAAATAAAGCCCTATATTTTTCTAAAATATGAAAGTGATATAAGAAATTGAAATTTATTCTTTCTGAATCATAGGAATTCTTTGCAGTAAGAATACACAAATGGTTTTTCTCATATGACCTCCTTAATTCTAATTGTGACGTCATTAACTTGTGCATTTTCCCGTATTTTCTTAAAAAGTTGCAGAAGATATCAATTTTCAGTGGAATTTTCTTTCAGAAAACATACTCTGCCACCGTCGCCCGGAAAGATTTTGAGATATGGGATTTTTGATAGCTTTTTGCACAATATATCCAAAAATTAAAGCGGGCGACGGTGGCAGACACTATTTTCTAAAGGAAAATTACCAGAAAAACGAGTCATTTTGAAGCTTTTTTGCATTAAACTTAAAAATGTACCAAATTAATGACGTAATATTTCAAGAAAGGCTCTTCTTCACGCCATCTATTTTAATGATTTATCATATTCATCTACTCAACTATTGTTAAAGCCAATATAATAATTTTTTAAGAACATTAAATTTTTAGGGCACAATAAAACTCAAACCGTACCGTCTTCTTATACTGATATTGTCACACTAGCTTTCTGAAAATGGTTAGTTGTGGAACCCGGGGGAGACTTCGATGTTACGTCAAGTTAGATATGTTACGTCACGTTATGGAAACGTAATTGTTCAAAATGCTTCTCTTTTCTCCATTTTTTCACATGAAAAACCTGGGTATTCTCTCGCACCATGTTATCTTCATTTTTCAATCATATTTCAAAATACTCCCAATATGCTGTTCAAATTTCAGTAGCAATGTCAAGAAAAGTACATCAGTCGACAACATCCATAAACGCTTTTAATTTGTCTTGGTAGATAAACCCTTAATTAAAACAGATCCTCCAAAAAGAGTCCACATCTTTAACAAACGTCCATGTAAGTTCTATTATTCTTAAATTTCTTCTGCAACTAGAAAATCAGCAACTAAATGCATTTTCCCCCAGCCTATGTCCATAATATATGCGTTTAATATAGAGTGACCCCGGGATTTTCACAAAACGCACGGCTTCACCGAAACTTGAGGTTGTCTTACAACTTAAAGATGAACACTTAATCATCAACAGATAAACAAAATATCAATTGAAATCAGTAAAACTCTCACACAAAGGTTTGTAAAACATAAAACAATCGTAATAATGGCATAATCTTTGTTTTATATACCACATAGGGCGGTTTTATTCTCATTTCACGTATTAAGAATTAAAAATGAAAATAAACTCGTTAATATCTTCCCCGCATTTCCAAACAACCGTTTCTATGGCAACTGCTAATGTGTTTTTTCTATAAGAAGGCTAATCTGTGATGTTTTGAATGTGAATCATGACATTCTATGATATTTTTACCGGAATAAAATGAAATGAAATATATGGAGATAACAAATATTTTTCAAACTCAAAGGTCCATTGAACATTATGAAAAATAATGATTTTTTGAAATTAATTGAGTGTAACATTGAAAATTTCACCCAAAGAGAACCGAAGGGCAGCCGAAATTCAAAATGGTTTTCAAGGGGAGAAATTTTCAATGTGAAGTACATGCAACATTTATAATATTAAACTGAATTTTTTTTACAAATATGTATTAAAGTGACATTTTTTTTAATATCACCCGTCGTCAAGCAATGTTTACTTTTGCTACGCTGTAGGGCATGGTTTCATTATTCAGCGGGTAATATGAATGTTTTTTTTTCTTCAAAATTTTCTCCACGAATCTGCTTCCTCAGATTTACATTTAAGTATAGAGATGAAAAATAGGAAAGGAGTAAACACAGACCTTCAAAACATCATGGATGGGATAAGGTGTGAAGTAAAATTCTTCATCGTCAGTATAGCGGAAAATTATTCTGTTATCAGAATATCTGAATATTGAATTTTACAAAAGAAAATTGAAGTGTAAAATTAGAAATTCCTACGGAAGCCCATTTAGGACCTATCAAAAAATATTTTTGAATTCGTTATAACAACAGATTTTTAGAATTCGTTATAACGAATTTAATTTGTTATAACAGATTTATTGAATTCGTTATAACGAATTTAAATTGTTATAACAGATTCATTGAATTCGTTTTAACGAATTCAGTTTGTTTTTACAGATTCATTTAATACGTTATAACGAATTTAATTTGTTATTACAAATTTATTGAATTCGTTATAACGAATTTAATCTGTTATTACAGATTTGTTGAATTCGTTATTACGAATTCAAGAATTTGGTTATAACGAATTCAACAAATCTGTAATAACAGATTAAATTCGTCATAACGAATTCAACAAATTTGTAATTATAACAGATTCAATTCGTTATAACGAATTCAACAAATCTGTAATAACAGATTAAATTAGTTATGACGAATTCCATAAATCTGTAATAACAAATTAAATTCGTTATTACGAATTCAATAAATCTGTTATAACAAATTAAATTCGTTATAACGAATTCTAAAAATCGTTATAACGAATTCAAAAATATTTTTTGATAGGTCCTAGATGGGTTTCCGTAAATTCCGTCTGTTAACAGCAAAAATGGTTGCTGGAGCAAGACTACTTAACTGCTGTTGTTTTCTTTTTGACAAATTTATCCTAAAACTAAGAGACACTTTCTCTCTTACGTTTAAATAAATTACATATATTCCATGAAATTAAGATATTTTTGACATGTTAAATTTCTCAAACATACCTTTAAAAGTAACATTACCGTGACAGGGAGCAAAGAATATGACATTCATCCAAATGTAAATTATTAATGGATTACGAGGATTAAATTCCATATTTGATTTCCGAAAAATGCTATAGTTGAACTGAAGAGGATTCATGAATAACTATGAAAATGCTTTATAATACGCTCCTGAAAAGGAGATATATACATACAATATTTTTTATTTCCGTATCTAATCTTGAACTACTAGCGCAAAATAGGACAATTAACATCCCATTTCAGCACCAGCTTTAAATTAAAGGAAAGTTGGGTTTTCCATTTTGTAAACCTTTGAGATTTATTCAATTTCTTAAACGAAACGAAATGCTGATAATTTGATGATCGTTTCATATTTTATTTGAAGCCCATCAGGATATATCGTGTTGACATATGAATGGAAAAAACCATTGCTCATTGACAATACGTCGTCGATATATCCAAAGGTCGACTTGAAGGCCGCTGCAAGTGTCTTCTTCTTTTCACCCATACCTAACCTGATTATTAAACCATTCTAAATTTGTGAATTAAAGGGAATATTGATATTTTGAAGTTTTCTCTTTTCAAAACTTTAATTCATCAAAGATTTAGTTTTACTATAAATATGTTTTGATCAGTGTTAAATTTTAATGTTAGTTTCTTTTTCTTTACAAAATGCGTTTAGTCCATTATTAATGCTATTTTGACATGGTTGTTGAACGATATTATTAGGTAAATGAGCATTATGCCTCTGTGAGAATGATGAAAACCATAAAAAATTCAGGAAAATACGTTTTCATGCATATGATCCTCCCATTTTAAGATCTGAGGAAAATCAGATTACCCGTTCTTAAAAAAAATAATTTTGATTCTGACTACATATTGATCCATAATAGCCTAATATTCAGTAAGTATAAATGCATAACAGATACAATTTCATAAATTAGCTGAATACTCAGTATAATGTAGACGTAATCAGGATTCTCCATGATTTGAAATTTTACCGTGTTGCACAGTTTACGCGAATCACTAAATTTTTGCGATATTTTTGCGATCAAATTCGCGATTGAATCACTATTCTTTATAATTATAAAAGAATACGGCACACACAGTTTTTCATAAATCACTAATTCGTTACACAAATGGTATGGTCGTACATATTGATAAAAGTGAAAAACGATGTTCTGAAAAGCAGAGGAAATTCTGGTCAATACAGTCGAACTACTTAATTACTATTTTTGAAAGTAAATTTGCCCTATTTTTTTCAGTTTTTTTTAATCGAATTACCGAATAACAAAAAAAAAAATCTTCAGAATACTTTGAAAGTTCCTTGTAAATTTACATAAACGATTTATTAACATCAATTCATTTCGCTACGATGTTTAACTTTCAGTTGCAACATAATTCTAGAGCCGTCGGCTCAATAGAAAAAAAAAATTAGATATTTAAAAAAAATACGATGTATTTTAAATCCAAATACCAATTAATCGTTACTTGAAGTGTGAAAACAAATTATTTGTCGTTGTTCCTTAATGCGTAAACTCCGGTGAGGGTCAAGGAGATAATTGGTTATGAGTGGTGAAGCCCTAATTAAGTGCTAATTAAGTGCTCTAACTGTTAGATTTGCTTTGATTAAAGTTTCAGTTATAGAGAATTGATATGCTTGGACTTTCTGATTATCACAGATCTTTCTGTTTCGACAAAAGTTTTACTGTGTCGCAAGCATTAAATTCGAACCGTTACTGTGTCGGAGAAAATTTTACTGTGTCGGAAGCAATACAGTAAAACAGCTCATGGAGAACCCTGCGTAATCTTTATGTTTGCGTATCAATGTGGAAGAGCGGAATTTGTCCTAATTTTCGACCTTGACCTGTCCAAGAAGAATTGTCCCTCTTTGCTTTTAATTAATAAAATTGTGTAAAATTATTTTTAAACATTTACTACTCTAAAAAAAATATATACCTTCTTCAATCATATTATTATTTTTATTTTCAAAGTATTTGCTCGTTTCCTCAATGCATTTTTCATTAATTAATCACTGTTCTTGTAATTATATGTTTGAGCATTTCTCTTAGTAAATCCTTTTCTCATCTTAAATACCTTGAATACATTTAAGGGTATTTTATAAAGGATTTATATCGAAGGTTAGAAAACTATGCCCTAATACGGGTTGAAAGGCATTTTATAAGGAAGCAGTGCTGTCATTTTTTTCTCCTTAACATTAAGAGTCAGTTACACAGGACGATTACACTTGAAATACTTAATATGATTTAAAAATGAAAAAAAACCGATGTACTTGTTAAAGTACCAGTTCATCTTCTCAAGCATGGCTAAGGGCTTTCATATGTAAGAGATTATGCCTCAAAGAATTACATAACACACATTTATGAACACTTTAATTTCACATTTATTATTTCAATTATTCTTTTTGCACAGTATAAGCATACATGTATATCATTTAGTTTATTGGTATAAGTTAAGGGTTAGTTAAGATATGATGACTTATGAATCGCATAACCCTCCGTTCCGATTACCTTTTAGACAATTTGAAGTTGAAGGAATGTCTAATCTCAACTCTATGCTATGTATGAATTTGTCTGATTGTACAGCAATGAATTATAACCGATAATCATTATATCACGCCTTTTAAAAACTGTTATTTAAGATATAAAGTCACCGTTTTTTGGAATGTTGCAGAATAACCTCCGTCGAGAAAAAAACGGAGACGTTAGCCGATGCTTTTATATTTCAAACAACAATTCGAGACCGAGGAGGTTATTCTACATCATTCACGATTTTGTACCAGCAGTTTAAAAAAAACGACTGATCGTTTCTCTATAGAGAAACGAATTAGGTCATCATGCTGCGATAACGCTGTTCCATTTAGCACCAGAGTGGGAATCTGTTTGTTTACCTGTGAATAGAATGCAGACGATTTGTGCTTTTGCTGCATTAAAATTAGCCTTTTATTAATCATAATTATTTTTGTAGCTTATACAGATTAATCTTTTTGAATATACAATAAACAAAAAATCAGTTTCCTATTTTACAACTTTATCACTAAAATCACGGAGTTAAAATAAATCGTAGGGAGGTTCGTGAAACAGCTCCGCTTGGCTTTAGAAACCTACATTCATCAGCTACTTTCTGCAATATAGTGTGTTTAAATCGCAAAAGACGACACATCAATGTGGCCTAAATAAGTATTTCATTCTTAAATCAAATGTACACTTCAACTGCACAGGTTTGATTCGTGTTTCTGATCTGATAATTTTTTGACGACGTTCTTGATTTATTGGAGAATAATGACCGCGCGGTATTTCTTTGATCTCGGTAATAATTGTGGTAGAATTATAAATGTAGACCAATACCATAAACTGATCCAGCGTTAACTTCAGGAGATCTCTCTTCATGGATTTTAACAAAACTTCCCTATCTTATTGTTAAAAACGTTACTAAAAATACCGGTAGAAGACAGAAAATAACGAATTATTTTAACACTGAAATGTAAATGGAAGGATTCGTTATATCCCGATCTTGACAAGGAACATAATCAGCTGACTAACAAGTAAACACAATTAAAAAACCCACACACATATAGATTACCTTACATTCATTCTTTCTTTTGACAATATTTACTGCTCACTGTCACAAACCTTAATTTTAAATATTACGTTTTTTTATAATAACTTTTTTTCATGTATTCAAGTGGTGTAATTATCTACGGGAAATATATTTATTATTATCATTTCTTTTTTTCTTTTTCTTTTTTTTTTGGGGGGGGGGGGGGGGGCAGGAGGATGTGATCTCGTTTGGATTACATGATAACTTGCATAAACGCCGAAAGCGTTCATAAATAAAATCATCACGCATGCCAATCGATATATCATCGTCATGAAACAGAAAAAAAAGAAAATACAGTTATATATGTATTCCTTATATTTATAATTACATGCTCTGGATTCCAAATATTCAAGAACTATACAAGTACTATATTCTCTTTATTTGTCCCCGCCCTACAAATGATTTCTTTTCACGACGTCTATCAATAACCCAGAAGAATTATTTAAGGAATAACTGTCTAATTTATAAATTTCGTGATGTGATTAATTAATTGGCTTGCGTTATAATTTGCAATAACGCCGTTTATGCATAAAATTATCACGCAAGTCATTCGTTTGATCATTGCCATGAAATCGAAAATAACTGACAATTATATCTTTTATTGCCATGCAATATATTCCGCTAATCAATGTGGTACAAGCCTCGCTTCTTGTCTCTATTTGTCCCACCCGGCACGTAATTTTTTAACCACACGTATAGATGAACCATTGCATTTTTGAAGGAATAAAGTACAATAAATATTTGGAATTTTATCGCGGTCATAAGAAATGTAAATATAGCAAAATAAAGTATTTTTAGCATTTGTAATTTTACATGCTACAAAGATATCGAAAATTCAAAAAAATCAAATATTACCAACTGAATTCTTATAATTGATATACTTGACATATACGTATATTCAATAGATTTTTTAAAAAAAGAGCGATATTAGCATAATGAATGCTTTTTCTTAATACATGTTACATCAAATGCTAATCTGAGACAAACCTAAATGAAGTCTACAAGGAAGTACAGCTTTCACGGTTTCTTTTTCCTCAACGTTCTGAGTCCTTAAGACACAGAAAGAAAGCACTTGAAATACTTTAATAAAATGGTAAAGGGAAACAAAATGTACATGTACTTGTTAAAGTATAAGTTAATATTATCAAGTATAACTATGGGCTGTTATATTAAGAGTTAAGTTTTCGAAGAATTGCTTATAGCATATTTATAAGCTAATTTATTTTTATATTTATTGTTTTTTTCACACTGGATAAACCTATAACTTTCCGTTGGCATAAAGGTCTTTGACAATCAAGGAAGTGCAGAGCCCTCCATCCTTAACACTTCTTACACGCTATACGCTATTAAATTGTTTATTTTTTTTTCAGATATTTTATAAGTAGTTTATCTATGAAAAAAAAATCATTTTTGCAAATTCCGCTACGAATCACTCTGCAGTACATGAAAAATAATCATCACAGTATATGAAATACCATGTTTAACATTATAAGATGAAAAAGGATGCCGATCCATTTTGAATACTGGAGAAATGGGGAGGTCCATTTAACAAGAGCATGCGATCATCATCGGCAGTCGAAAAAT